GCCCTCCCCCCAAAAAAATATAAGTCCCCCCTCGAATATAAGTCTCCGGAATATAAGCCCAGTAGCCCACTATGTTATTCAACATTGACATTGACTTTTAATACAACAGAGAATGATATTTAAAAACATTTTCATTGTCTTTATAGCTTACTATGTTAATCAAAGCGCGTTATTAATATTGATACATGTTTATTTTCCTGTTTATGACTGACTTGTTTATTACTAACAGAAAAGATCGTCCACTGATGTATAAGCCTCCCGTATATAAGCCCCCCCCCCCTTGTATAGGCCCATCAAAAATTGCTTACAAAAAATATAAACCAATGCTGGCCCAGGTGAGGGCCAAGGGTGGGTTGACTACAACATTTTTGTAGTTAATTCGCTATAACTACAGCTACTTCAAAAATATGTAGTCAGCTACAACTACTGCTACTTTGAACAAAGGTAGTTCGCTACTGACTACAGCTACTGCTTAAAAAATGTAGCGAATTATTTCGCTATTTCGCTACGCAATATTTCTTAATTTTACGGTATTTGGAGCATCTACTAGCTCAGGCTGTAATGTAACCTATATAACAAATCGACTTACGAGTAAATAGGATGGCATGCACTTGCACGGCATATTTTATTCATGCAAATTGACTATTGACTATTGATTTTAAATTAAGCAAACCATGTCTCAATATCATGCTATTCTATCCATTTGCTAACAATTTTAAAAAGTAGCGAATAGCGATTTTCTGTTTGAAAAGTAGTCAACAACTTGGCTACTTTTAGGCAAAATGTAGTTCGCTATAACAATAACAGCTACTGTTTTGAAAAAGTAGTCAAAAACTACTGGCTACTAGTTGAAAATTGTAGTTCGCTACACTAGCGAACTACAACTACTTCGCTACTACCCACCCTTGGTGAGGGCTTATAGTCGGAGGTTTACGGTATTCTATTTTTGCCCAACTAACCAATAACAATTAATGGCCGTATTTATATTAGAAGACGTCTTTTAAGACGTTTAAAAACGTCTGGACGGATTAAACGTCTTGTGTTAAGGGAAGCCTCACATATTGATTTGTCCATGAGAAACGTCATATGTTCGTTTCTCTGGAGATCCCCCCCCCTGGAAACGTCACACACAGGTATCGATATTTTGTTCTTATAGTACACATAAGCTAATTTTCTACTATTTTCTACGGTCGGCTATTGACGATACTTCCGCGAGGAATATGTTATCTTCTGCGTGACTCTATCTATCCGGGACTCGAACAATAGGGTCAATTGAAAATTGCTATTGGCGAATTTGGCAAAAATACAATACACACGTGACGGTGAAGGACCAGATTTACGAACTTACGACTTTATGTTTGACTCGCGCTGGAAACAAGTCATTCTTGCGAGTCCAATTCAAGATAGGCGAATGAAACAAAAATCTTGTCTAATTAGTAATGTTCAACTAAATATTCCAGAAATTGGGTTATCTTTTCATGTCACGCAATCACGAAATAAACTAGTCCTTGGCCCAATCCCTAACCCAGAGCCCTAATCTCCTAACCAGAATATTTATGAATACGCAGAATATTTATGATAACGCAGAATATTTATGATTTACGCAATAGCGAAACTGATCTCTCGTTAAAAAAACCGAAAACGGAATTTCTAAAGAAAACATTTGGATACAGTGGAGCAATTCTATGGAATAGTCTCCCGCAAGATGTCAAGGCGGCTGAGTCAATTACGTCATTTAAAACAATGACGAAATTGCATTTAAGCAGATGATAAGCTCCAGGACCAAATGATGGGAGGACAATTGCAATATAGATTGTAGGCGGGAGGGGGGTTAGTTTTGCGTGAGGGTGGGTGGGTACTTGTTTAGGGGGTGGAGGTTTGGGAGGAAGATGATAAAATTTTAGGGTGGGATTCTTACATATTTTGTTCTATATATAATTAACATTTAGCTCTTTGTGTGTATACGCCCTTCGTGGAAACCAGTTGTAAATAATTGTCGAAGTTAGCGTATTGAAATAAAGTTTTACATATACTGTTATTTTTAGGGAGTTAAAATAACTCCCCTATTACTCCTTTTTGGTGGAGTTAAAATTTTAAAGATAGTGTAACTCCATTTTTGGAGATACACTATCTTTAAAGATAGTGTAACTCCATTTTTGTATGTATACATACACCACTTAAGCCCCGCTTACACTACGCTCAATTTTTGGTACGGCACGGATAAAATTGGTACCCGTACCATTTTTTTGGTTCTTGTACTACCTATTTAGGTAGTCCAAGAACCAAAAAGTGGTACTGTACCAAAAATTCAGCGTAGTGCAAACGGGGCTTAGCTGGATAGGTAGTCCAAAAACAAAAAAAGTGGTACGGGTACCAATTTTATCCGTGCCGTACCAAAACTTGAGCGTAATGTAAACGGGGCTTAATATTTAGTGACTGCGTCGTCTGCGTGACACAAAAATGAAAATGAAACAAAAAAATGGAGGCCCACTCATCTTTCACGGCCGTTTAATCAAGCTAACTTAAATCACAGTCATGATACACGATGTCATGACTACAATTTTGTCATCCCTAAAGTAAACCAAACACCAATTTTTGAAAATAATATAATGGTCTCGAATATAATGAAGCAGTGGTATGGAATTCAATACGAATTGAAATTAGGAATTCCACCTCACTAAAAATATTCAAAAATAAACTGTAGATAATAATTTGTTATTATGTATATATAACTGTAATTTCTCATTTTCTTGTAAATATTGTAAATAATTCAAGAAGAATAATCTCGGTGTTTGGATGACAGGCCTCCGTGCTTAAATAAAGTCCATTCACTCAAGTCACAAATCGTTTCGTTCGAGGCCAATTCAAGTGACAAGTTGTTTATCTGTTGTTAATATATCTGATTAACAAGTCACAAGTCATAAAAATGGCGACTCGAGTCCAAGTCACACGACTAGAGTCTATAACTCTGAATTTATAACCATTATATGATCAACGCTGACTTCCAAACGAAAAAATTTGGGTCACATGACTACTCGATCTTGCAATTTGATACAAGACAAATCTGATACGCAATGCAAATTATAAATATGAAAGCTAGCTTGTACTAGTGATCGGCGATACTATCGAAAAAGTATCGAAATCATCGATACTTACAAAAGTATCGATACTTTCGATACTCGCAAAAAGTATCGGTAATTTGATACCACTTGAGCCTGCAATGTTTTTGGTCAGTATTCCTGACCAATCACTTAATGCTTCATGAAGGCAACAGACTGAAGGCCCCTGAAGGCAAAAAATGTTGACATGATGCTGTTCTTAAACAAAAACATGTAGCTAATTAGCAATATATTTGAGGAAAACATTGTTGTTTTGATTTAAAATCATAATTGCAAATGTTATGTTCGATTATTTGGCAGGTACTCCAGTTAGAGTATTCTTTGACTTGTTTTAAACATTTTAATGTTCGTGTTTTAAAAGTTATTTTAATAAATGGAAAAAATTGAGTATCGGTATCGATTTTGGTATCAAAATTCATGGTATCGGACTGGTATCGTATCGAAACCAAAAAAGCTGGTATCGCCCATCACTAGCTTGTACAGCATTTCTTTGAAAATTAACCAACTTTAAACTAGCTAATATGCGTTCTACCCGAGGTAGTACTGTATTACGTTTATATGGACCCAGCTGTCCACCTTGCTACCCGAAACCGATCGGTGGTAAGTAAGTAAAATTATTTAAAATTCCAATTCCAATTTACAATTTATTAAATTCGCACGACGTACACAAATATTTTACATAACTTATATCAGAAATTAAAATTATAATAAAGCTTTCAAAGTATTAATATAGTAGCATAATCGTACGCAGTGGTCAAAGTAGCTTTACGCTTTCGGGTCACTTCCAAATAGTCACTTGCGTGAAAGGGGACTTTTGCTTAGCCCAAGCGCTTTCATGATGGTCAACTTGCAGTTGTCAGAATGAGAAAATAACGTAGAAGCCTTGTACTGGAAGAAAATTTATACAATTCTGAGTGTTAACATTACTGAAATTGATCATCATTTTCTGAAACCTATACCGGCCATTGTTTCGTCAATTCAATATTGATATTAATTGACTGCAACACGAAGACGACAGCGGCTATCGATACAATTACGGCTAATTATACTTTCGCGTACTTAAATCGTAGCTAATATTACCAGAATTCATAAAGCTTCTCAAAATGAATTAAATGCCAATACGTAATAATTCGTTGGGTTATACACAACATTCTTTTATAAATATTGACATCTTGTATGAAACTCTATTCGACGGCTCGATGCTCTCTGAGAAATTCTAGAATTTCTCACACTAGATACAAGAAGTCAGTTGATCCGTCAGAAGACGATGTTTTCCTTCGCGTATTATGAACGAGAATATTGAGAATTAGCAAATGTGAAATGGCGTGAAAGGGGTCATTGATACTACACGCGTAAAAACGCACAGATTGTTACAGGTCGACAAACAAGTTGTTACAAATCTGTTCACAAGCTATGGACAGCTGTCGTTGTAACAAGTTTGGAGCAAGGTGTTAAGAACTTGTAACAAGCTTGATGGCATTATTAGATTTGTTACAAGGTTGCTCTAATAAGTCTGCATACAATCATGATATAACAAGAATGTTACAAAGTTGACGACACAAGGTTGTAACAATATTGTGATATCGTGACTGGATCAGACTTGTTGGAACAACCTTGCAACAAGTCTGATAATATCAACAAGGTTGTTACAACTGTTAGCAGCTTGTTCCAAACTTGTTGACAACTTGGGACAAGCAGTGCGAACACAACTTGTTGACGCCTTGCAAGATTTTTACGCGTAATCTTGAACTTCGTCCTTCCTGCAACGGTTAGTGCGACTGACTGCTCACGAAAACAATCTGTTTGTACGATTAATTTCGTCTTATGCCAGTATGCGAAAAGAATAATTCCTCATAGCCAGACACCAGTCGAGTTTAGCGTGCCTTAGACTATGCTTACATGAGGAGGATGAATTCAGAACTGCACGAGGATACGATAATCCAAGATATTTAGTCGTACACACGTAGAAATCTTGTCAACAAGATGTGTTCGCAACAGGTTTGTAGCAAGCTTGTCAACAAGTTGTAACAATGCTGTTATTTTATCAAGTTGCTACAAGGTTGTCACTCACAACTTGTTGACAAATTGTTGAATTGCAGGACGACAACAAGTTGTTGGGAACAACTTGTAACAAGCCTGTTGAGCTCAACAACCTCGCAGCAAGTTGTGTAACAAGCCGTTGACAACTTGTCAACAAGCTGGGAACAAGCAGTGCGAACACATCCTGTTGAAAAGTTGTTGGAACAGCATTGCAACAAGTCCGCTGTAGGTTTGTTATAACTTGTGCGTTTTTTACGTGTTTTTACAAACTCACACAAAGTACAGGTGTCTGAAAGGCATTCAAACTACGAGCACAATTGTCTATAGAAACACTGCAATCGAGTCCCATCAGTGCAATCATGTTTCATTCCAAAACATGTCAAACTTACACATATACGGACTAAACTACGGTTTTGAATCCTTAGCATGGTACCAGCACAAACAGTCAGTACGCAAATAGCAACAGTTCCGCGTACCTACATGGTTGAAACGAAAGAAGAACGAAGTACCAGACTGTAATATTAGAGAGGTTAAGATACCCCGGTTTCGGTGTACGGGTACGAGCAGTGTCATCTTGTTTTATTGATGTCTGTAATTCGATCATACGACATATACGTTATCTGTTTTCTTGCAATAGACAATGATATAATGCGAAAAATGTGCACCTTAATTACGAGTAAAGGTACAGACATCGACGAAAATATTTGCTAATCAAAATCATGCTACCCGTACACGTACACCAAAACCTGGGTATCTTAACCTCTCTATACGCGTACCTCCGGTACGTAAGTACGCGAATTATTACATCCTGCTGCACTCAAATGTGCATGAGTTTCATTGTTGTGATCACGTCGTATAGGACACATATGCTCATCGGATGAATTGCAGTACACACATAAAAACGCACAAGTTGTTACAGGTCTGCAAACAAGTTGTTACGAATCTGTTCACAAGCTGTCGACAAGTTGTGTTCGCACTGCTTGTTCCCAGTTGTTGGAACAAGTTTGAAACACGCTGTTCACAACTTGTAACAAGCTTGATTGCATTATCCGACTTGTTACAAGGTTGTTCTTACAAGTCTGATACCCGAGTCATGATCAATAACAAGAATGTTACAAGGTTGACGTCACAAGGTTGTAACAATATTGTTATATCGTGACTGGATCGGACTTGTTGGAACAACGTTGCAACGGATCAACGAGGTCGTTACAAGTTGTTAACAGCTTGTTCCAAACTTGTTACAACAACTGGGAACAAGCAGTGCGAACACAACTTGTCGACGTCCTGCAAGATATGAAATTGTTTATGTACTCTTGTATATACATTCCTTCCTTCCTGCAACGGGGCAGTTGAAACTGACTGCTCACGAAAATAATCTGTTTGGACAATTAACTTCGTCTTATGCCGGTATGCAAGAAGAATGACTCCAAAACAGCTAGATAGCAGTCGAATTTAGCATACCTTAGACTATGTTTACATGAGAGGCCAACGCCATGCATTCAAATTTGCATGAGTTTGCAAAGTTTCCTTGTTGCGAACACGTAGGACGCATGTACTGACTGGACCAATAGGAGTACAGCTGTAACCGTACGACTTATTAGTTTTCTAATAACACAATCAAAAAACATAATATGTGAATTTTAATGGCTTATAACATTTCTTCTAAGACCTTCCCAGTGCGAATTGATTTCGTTGGCTAGAGATCTACTGCAGAGAGAAAACCAGAAGAAAGAAACTAGCAAACATGCATCCAGCTTGGGTGATAGTACTTTTTATTCACTTTAAGTTACAGCATATGTAAAGTGGTTCATCGATTTCGTTAGATAACTGAATGCCTTTAATTAAAATTCGTTGTGAAAACTCACTCAATTATCAAGAAAATTCAGAAGAAATGAGTTCATAAATGTCTTCAACAGTTTCCTCAAGATTTCGTCTTTCCTCAAGATTTCGTCTTGATTTAGCTTGCAAAGCCCCCCTCCCGTGTATAAGCCCAACAGCATTCACTAACGCTGAAGCCCCCCCCCCCAGAATATAAGCTCATGCCATGGACTCATTATTGGACAAGTATACACAGTCAGAAATCTCACAGGCCTGTCGCAGTTGTTGATTTTACCGGCTTGCGGCAAGTTGTCAACAAGTCGCGACAGATCTGTTGGTTTCTTCGGGCGGTAACAGGCTTGCGGGCAGGGATTATTCTAAGGAAATTTTATCACTGCACAAAAGCACGAAAATAATAAAATTTATATATATTTAGCCAACATTTTAGAAAACGTTCTGACTGCCCAGCATGAGTATATCATGATGAGTATATGTACTCTGGTTCTGCAACTTTAAAGTTTATACAGGCAAATGAGTCAAAATGACCGCTGATGGAGCCCAAATCTGCATTCTGCATATTCTTTTTCATGCAAAAATATACACATTTTCACATATTTTTTGAATTGCATGCGAAACACCAAGCAATATTGCTCAAGATCTAGTCTTTCACACTCTCCGTGAAATAGATTAATCTATAAACTGTTGTCAAAAAACAGTGTCAAAAATCTCAAAACAAAATCGCTCGGCATCGGCTTAACCTTACGAAGATGACATAAAAGTGATTTTCTTGAACACGACTTGGCTGCTAGGAGAGACAGCCGATCGGAATAAATATGCCACTGAAACATTAGTAAATGCATGAATGCTTTATTGATTAAGAAGTTGGCCAACAGTAACCGAGCTCGATCTCAGATTTGCAATAATTTAGAGTTAAATATTTTCACCCTGTACATTCCCAGTAAAAACTGAAAGTCATTGCATGTGGACTGATATGCAAATTAGTATACAAGCAGTAGTCATTTTGTTTTGTCGCCAATTTCTGGTACTGAACAACATCGCATTTTATCACTGCACATAATCTAATTTATCACTGCACAAATCTAATTTATCACTGCACAAATTGGTTATCACTGCACCTTAGAATAATCCCTGCTTGCTGGAACAGGTCTGTCGCAAGCTGGCGACAAACCTGTTACTAACAAGAGATAACAGGTCTGATAGAACAATTTGCAGCAAAGTCTGATGAAAGCAACAGGTTGTTACAACTTGTTACAACAGACCTGTCGCGAGTTGCTTTTGTCAAGTCTGCAGCAAGCTTGTTATCAGACCTGCGACAAACCTGTCCACAACAAACAATTTTTGTCCTGTCACAACAAGTTTCAATAAGCCTGTTGTTGGGAAGCAAATCGAGAAAAATCGCACGAAATCCACGCTTCCGGCTTCATGCACTTTCCCATTCAATCATTGCCATTGGCAATATTAAATGCAAAGGCCGCTGTTAAGGACGGACCATTTGATTTTTGATGGGGGGTGGGTAGAATCCCCAAAAAAATATCGGGCAAGCAATTCGAACTTAAAAAAAATATCGTGCAAGAATAAACGGACGAAAAAAAATATCGTGCAAGACTTTCGGGTGGTAATCCTTATTTGCCATTTGGTGCATTTCCGCGTGTAGCCCAGGGCCGTATGTAGCAACCGGGAGGCTGCAGGGTCCAGGAAATGGCATTTCAGAGACTCTAAATTTTAAAAATTTCCTCGGGCCTTCGGCCCTCGCCTTCAGTCCCCCCAATAAAAAAGAGGTTCCTACGGCCCTGTAGAGTAAATGGTTGTGCGTATAATTCCAAAAATGGTGGATTTTTATTTCTTTACTCTGATTCCTATGATGAACATGTGTACGTAAAAAGCTAGGAACACTACCATTAAATCACGGCCGTAGAAACTAAAATAAGTGAAATTTTTATGGGACACGATCAAAGGCGAGGATATAAGAGCGAGAAATTGAAAATGAGTAGGAATAGCGTACAGGGGTATGCGTTTCGACCTAACAGTTTTCTTCAGCAGGGTTTTTAAGAGGGGGGGGGAGGGGGTGTAGATATAATTTGAAAAGGAGAAGGAAGGAGAGTTTATAGGAGTTCGGAAAATAATGTGAGACCAAGAGGAAAACAAATTATTATGAAATAACTGAAAATAACCAATTACACAGTGAAAGGATGTAACTACTATACATGTTATTAGTCAAGTTATCCTACCAAAGGTCTTGTTGTTTGCGGGACATTCCAACACTACGCACTTTATTGTTCATCGTTCGTATTGGTGAAGTGAAGCAAATTTGCAGGTCCTTCAATTAAGGGTTAACTTACTCAATGGTATAGTGAGTTTGAATGATTGTGATGGTAAGGGTGATCATGTGACTGTGGGTGATTGCGTCCAAATATGGTGTTAGTGGTGTAGGAGCTTATAAGACAGGGATAGGGGCGTTTGGCAACTAGTGATACAATTACCTATTATATACCAAAAAATGTAAAAACAAAAAACTAAAAAATGTATATACATGCATACAAAAAAATATCGTGCAAGTCCTCTGACTGACAAAAAAAAATCGAACAGTGTCCGGAGGCGGAAAAAAAATATCGAGCAAACTGAAAATCTACCCACCCCCCCATCAAAAATCAAATGGTCCGTCCCTAAGAACAAATGTTCCTACTGGAGGATTGACAGCGGTAGGTAATGGGACCTGTTGGGATCCTTGTGGCGTTGCTGACGCTGACCGAGGTGCATACACTGGCTGTTGCATTGACGTCATATAACGTAGAAAAAACTATCCTAACATAAAACTAAACCCTTACCCTAATACTAACCCTTACCCAGTAACCCTAACCTAACCTAAACCCTAACCTAACCCCAACTTATTTTAAAAATTGATATAAAAACGGAAACCTTATTTTGAAGTATACTATCTAGCAATTGCCGTTCGCAATGGTCTAGCAAACAACGAATTCGATTAAATTTCCCCATTTCAGCGTTTTATCCCCATTTCAGCGTTTTATCACCATTCCAGCGTTTTACCCCCATTTCAGCGTTTTACCCCCATTTCAGCGTTTTATCCCCATTTCAGCGTTTTACCCCCATTTCAGCGTTTTACTCCCATTTCAGCGTTTTACCCCCATTTCAGCGTTTTACCCCCATTTCAGCGTTTTACCCCCATTTCAGCGTTTTACCCCCATTTCAGCGTTTTACCTCCATTTCAGCGTTTTACCCCCATTTCAGTTTCCGCTTTCAGTTTCCGTTTCCGCGATTCAGTTTCAGCGTTTTATCCCTACCCATATTTCACGGCATGGTTTACTTTCCAGACCCCGTTGAAGATATAAGAAATCCATTAAATAAATAATGCTTATAAGTAAGCCACAACAACGTTGAAAATGTATTTTTAAACGACGATTTCTGTATATATTATGTTCAGAACTATTGCTTTTCGTAAAGAAAACCCACTGAAATGGGGTTTTCAAAAGTTTATCTCCATTTTAAGTCTCGATATAAAATCATTTTTACAAACTTTGTTGAGAAAAAAACAACAATTCGCACTCCACGCAACCGCGCGAAATTCCTTTGCACAGGAGTTTGGGACGAGCCAAAATGCCCTTATAAATCCGCCATTTTGTGGAGACAAATGTTTTACTGAGAAAGATAGAAGTACGCATTCTATATCTATTATTTCTATGGGTCTAATAAATGTATATAAAATTTACACTCGATAATTTCCATCTGCAAAACCCCTCAACTATTATTGAATCGAGTGAGATGCCAACAAAATGTTGATATTTAATTACCCATACCTTAACATGGCACTGTAGTATCCTGTCCATTCTCTTACCCAGAGCCCTTCTTACGCGCGGTGCGACGAGGGGCTCTGGCCAAATCCATATCAAACTGACATCTGATTGGCTACAACGAAGGTTATTGTTCTAATACCGGATATATTCTTTTACCATGTTTTTATGGTATCCGGTTTTGTATTTGGCCAGAGCCCATTCTCGTATCCAGAGCCCTTCTTACGCGCGGTGCGACGAGGGGCTCTGGCCAAATCCACATTTCGAACTGGCATCTGATTGGCTAGTTCTAACACCGGACATTGTTTTCTTACCATGTTTTTATGGTATCCGGTTATGGATTTGGCCAGAGCCCCTCGTCGCACCGCGCGTAAGAAGGGCACTGGGTACGAGAATGTATCCTGTCATGCAATCTTCTTAATAAAACGAGTGGTGGACACATGACGTATACCCAATTAGCCTTTCTCACGATGACGAATATCCGCCATTTTTGGGTGGCATCCAATTCTCGTTATCCAATGCAGACAATTAAAACAATGTGAAAAGCAATTTTTCAAAATAAACTAACCATTTACAAAGCAAATTCACCATCATTCGTCCAAAAAATTATAAAGTCGCTGTTATGTGGACTTATCTAGCAGACTTCAGCTGAAATGCCACCCAAAAATGGCGGCGTGAGAAAGGCTAATTAAGGTGTTACTGTACGTGTAGAATTATAGAACGGAGAAGTTAAACCGTGCATGCATGAGTGTGAAAGTGCGCATCGTTCAGATTTATGAAAAAGCAATGCATGGCTGTTTGAAAATATTATAACAAAATATATAGGACACAACTATTTATTATATGGACAATGGTGTTTTACTGGAAACTAAAATACTCGTAGAACTCATACGTCACTACATCCGGGACCAGGTGCCCGTATTTTCCGTATTTCATCCCTGCGAGTGACATACGAAGTTCGAAAATTTCCCGCCATTTTCATTGTTGTTGTTTTGAAAATACAAATGGTCTTTGGTTCGTATTTAAAACGAAATTAACGTTGGAAATAAAACGAAAACATTTAAAAGACATCTTGAGATAAGTAAAATTTATTCTAGTATCATGTTTGCACTATAATTTTTAAAAAATATCGCTTTTATACTGGTCTTTCGCGTGTTTATTTAAATGTCGTCTTTGTGTGTATTTTTGTCACTCTGAATAAGTCCATGCATATAATAAACAGAACATTAAACGGTTGCGAGAAGATATGGATTTATGTTCTCGTGTCAAAAACAATATCTAACTCGTTCGCTGCGCTCACTCGCGAGATATTGTTTTTGCCACTCGAACATAAAATCCATATCTCTTCGCAACCGTCTAATATCCTCTATATATAGGATACATAATAACAATTTAACACGCTTACCGCGTTTGCTGGAAATGCTCGTAACATAACTGGTGTCAAACCCTTAAACAAAGCCTTTGGACCTTCTTCTCTCATCTACATAGAAACAATACGCGCTATAGACTTTCTCCAAATCTGCCTCTCCAAGGGATTTTTATTTGGGATCTTGAAATGTAAAAATGCCGCTGTGAGTGGCAGACGTGGAACAAGTCTGAATACGCCTATTGCGTCAGCAGTCGTTTTCATACGCCACAATGATATACATGCAATTAGTTGTATCGTGTATCTAAATGGACCTTAAAAATAGCGTCCTTGAACTAAAGAGGATGTTACAAACTCAGCTGCTCGAAGTCAGGTAAAATAAAAGTTAAAATAAGTAAAGTTCTTTACCATATGTCTAAAAACATCGCGTACACCTTTAGGATATGTTCCTTCGGGAGCTGCGTGAAGAAATAGAAAATCTATTACTTATCATCTGTACTGCATGACTACTGACTGACGGAGTTCTGACTGTGCAGATCAGAGAGAATCACAACCTCGTCCCCAGGCTCTTACCTCTTGTGGAGGAAAGACCCTGGTAGGAGCTGGTTACGTGATCTGCTTAAATCTAGCAGATTTTGAATTGATGATGACGATGTTGATAAATATTTGATATTTATACTGCATTTTAAAACTTGCATTTTGTTTTGCAAGTTTACTTTGATTTGATTTTAAATGAAACCAAGATAGTTAATTAGAAATCTGATTAATTTTAGCAGATCGCGTGACCAGCTCCTGCCAGGATCTTTTCTGGGAACGAGGTTGAGAGAATCGATCTTGTCTAAAAGTACACACAATGAGTGACCACGAGTGACTACGAGTGATTTCTGTGTTTAAAAACCCATAAAATAATAATAAAAACTATTCTAAGGTGGCTCCCTATGGTTTTTGCATTATACTACACTATAGTATCCAGAAAACTCCTGTTTCTTCACTTTAAGGGGAGTTTCCACTCAGAAAAAATTATCCGTGGATTGGAATGGACAAGACAATTTTGCTTTGTCTTGTGAGCTCTGGGTGGGAACTGACTTTAACACAAAGAAAAATTTTCTTGTCCGTTCCAATCCACGGATAATTTTCCTGAGTGGAAACTAGTCCTTACATAACATCAAGACGGGATTTATTGGACACATTCACAACGCTCTCTTGAACATTGCAATTTGCTACTTTTGCGCTGAAAGTCCGTTACCATGGAAACAGCGTGCTTTGGATAATTAAGCTCAAAATTTGTCTTTTCCCGGCCATTTTAAAAATTCCCTTCGGTAAATTTTTTTAAAACTTTGCATAAAAATAATTCTCGTATAATGATTTTTTTTCTTGAATTTAAAAAAAATTCTATCCAACGTTTTTTTAGAAAATTTCAAAAACGTCACAAATCAATATTAAAAAAATTCCTTTCAATAAAATTTTAAGAAAAAGAATATTGAGCTTGTTAAGCCGATGTTAAGAAATGTGCAAAGTTTTAAAAAGTTTTCCCGAAGGAAAAGGAAGAAATTTTGGATTAATTTTGGCATTTTTTGCGAGATGTGACGTGAACAGTTATCACATCTGACGTGTACAACAGTCGAAAAACTAAAAAAATTTCCCGAATGGATTTTTAAAATGGTCGGAAAAATTTTTTTGAGCCTTATCCTAAGCACGCTGTTGACATGGTAACGGACTTTCAGCACAAAAGCAGCACATTGTTCAATGTTCAAGAGAGCATTGTCAATGTCTCCAATAAATTATGCTTTCATTTCTCCATAACTGTATCTACCTGTTTCTCTACCTTTCTAATTATTTTTCTTTTCGTGTGTCTAACAAATAAATAAGCCCAAATGTAAACAACGATAAAATATCATGTAGCATTTTCTATATATAGAAAAGACAAGAATAATATCATGCAATAAAACCACCGTATACCTGTCTGAAATCTGGATTTAAGAGTGTCTGGGGCAACTGCTGGTATCCAACACATCATTCCAGCTAGTCCTAGAAACCATTCATTAAATTGAAAAAGAAATCAAGTGAATAGATCAAGTGCGAAAAAATCAAGTGCGTTTATTAGTGAATAGTGAACATTATTTAGGCAGGGAGGCCTGTCATCGAAAATAAGATGATCTTCCCAGGCGCCGTGACATTTGAAATATTTACAACATTTACAAGGAGAATGAGAAATTAGAGCTATATACATAACAAATTAATTCTACAGTTTATTTTTGAATATTTTTAGGGAAGTGGAATTCCTAATTTCAATTGGTATTGAATTCCATACCACAGCTCCATTATATTATACACTGCTCCATTTATATTTTTCAAAAAATTGGTGTTTGCATGGTTTAGGGATAACAAAATTGTAGTCATGACCTCGTGTACCATGACTGTGAAATAAATTCGCTCGATTAAATGGCTGTGAAAGATAAGTTAATGGCAAAAATTACCTCCAGCTACAAAAATCTTTACTGGTCCAAGGTCGGCTCGGCTAATATAGAAAAGAGGGATGTGAAAAGCTATTGTACCAAACAACTGCAGTGATCTCTGCCCATTATGAGAGTGATTTCCATGCACAACCGCACACAACTACAATGCGTTGGGCACAACTACAATACGTCGTTATATACTTAGGTCATTCTTTGCCTTGGGATATTTCAAACCATACACTTTTATTGATGGGGGAATTGCTATCTGATATACACAATGTGCGTGCATGGTCCGTTTACCAAGTCGTGATATATACTTCCGAAGATTCATTCTTCATGCGAGAATTGCATGCTTATCAATTATGCATGTAAGGACCATTTTTATGTAAGGATAATTTTCGTAATCTGTGATAAAGTACTATCTTTTTAATATTAATTTCGGTTTTAGAAACAATTCTGAAGTTTGCCGTATATTGTTGCCTTGGCAACGAATCAACTTCAACTTTATTTTGTTACAAGATACCAATCTTGTGACCCTATGATGAATATTTGCGTTTAAAACATCCGGAATTATGCATGAATAACGGGAGTTATGGTGGAAAGGAATAAAGATTAATGAAAACTAAAAAAATACGACGAATGACGAAAAATTCGGAACAATGAACAATTGATTCACAATTATTCTACTCTGATATATAAATGCTCAAGTAGTTTTAAAGACGTTTAAAGTGGCACTCTCGTCAAAATTTTTATTTTCTTAAACGAAAATGCTCTTAAAACTGTATAGAAACTTCTTTTGAAGATATTTGTTCCCATGCTTAGTTCTTGAGATATTTCATTTTGTTTGTAACCATGTGACGTCATTTACTCAATTACATATATAATGAGATATCAGTAATTGTTGTGTATCTTGGCTACTTTTGATGGATTTGTTTTTAAAAAAAACAGTGTGTTTAATGATGTAGATTAAGTTAACAAACCCGCCGCATCTTTGGAAAGATTTTGATAAAAATATCAAAGATACACAACAATTACTGATATCTCATTATATATGCAATGGAGTAAATGACGTCACATGGTTAAAAACAAAATGAAATATCTCAAGAACTAAGCATAGGAACAAAAATTTTCGAAACAAGTTATTATACAGTTTTACGAGCACTTTCGTTTAAGAAAATAAAAATTTTGACGAGAGTGCCACTTTAACTACCAACCTTGTGCAACGACTTACGTTTGTCCCTCAGCAGTCATATGTCTTAAAAACATTTCATATGCCATAAAATAAACGCCATTACCGGGTATATCTGAAGGCAAACACGTGACATTACAATTACACGAAAAAAATTAATGTTATATAATAAAATCTGAAGTGGTATCTCTCTTATGAATGCGTGACAAGCTTTTTTCTGAATATGGATATCCTAGACCTAGTATGAATCGGCGAAGATACTGACAACAGGTTCAATGCGAAATTTAGAAGCTTTAATCGTATTTCGAGTTAATGGATGGAAAATTTGTTGGGTTTTTAATTACTGTACAAAATTTTAGACAATTTGCTTTAGTTTAAGCCCTTTAACTATTCAGCCTTTCGCATGCTTAATTAATGCCTTTACCTAATTTGCATGTTGCTGACATATGCAAATTAGGCATGCAAATACATTAATTACGCATGCAAATGCCTGACTTTTTAGGAAAAAATGTAAGTTTGCGTGAATAGTTAAAGGCTCAATCTGAAGCAAATTGTCTAAAATTTCGTGCAGCAATTAAACACCCAACACATTTTTCACCCTTTTAACTCAAAATACGATTAGTTTGTTAGAATTTTTTTCCATTATACTACATTTTAAGTACCTAAAGAAGCTATATATATAGTTTTCTTTTGTTTTACCTCAAAACAACCACAACAGTCTGTTTCATCCGTATAGGAATCATCAGGTGGTCTGATGATTCCTATACGGATGAAACAGACTAGGGATGAGCCGATTAATCGGTAAATAATCGGCAAAGCCGATTAATCGGGTAAACTTTTTCTGCAGCTACCAAGCACATGCTAAAATAATGAATACAAAAACCCATGTTTTTGTCAAAAACTGGATAATAACAGCTGTTATGCGAAGTTGAGAGCAATTTTAAATCTGTTCAGTTTTTTTTATACACCCTGTTTCTCTGTATATATAAAAAGGTATCAATTTTGCTTTCCTGACAGAAAATGAAGGATCTACAAAGATGGAACAGATCGCACAAATACCTCTTAATAATGTGGCACCCGTGCCTCTATAAAGTCCTCTTATTCCATTTTCTTTAAATATCTTCCAAGCACAATCAAGAGGACCACTGTACTTCGCTTTCCCGGACGACGCTTGCTGGATCTAAATCGCGGACAAATGTTTGTTTACAGTAATACGTACCAATAAGAGAAATGAGATAAAACAAGAGCGGACTTTCGGGGTTTTTTAAAAGGAAGGGTGGAAAAAATTTTAGTGGGGTGCAAGCGGCACTACTGAGCGAGATTCGGCAGGGGTTAGGGTTTAATGACTTTCACACAAAATAGGAGGGGTGAAGCGAAATTTTGGTGGGGTTGAACGCTTTATAAGAGGGGTTAGAATTTTATTGGCAATTTGATTGGCTTCGACCAAACGTATGCATCGTTTTCCTGTACTCAAAAGAAAGCACAGGAATTCACAAGCTGCACAGGATGCAGTTATCTAGTACCTAGTTGTAGTTCTGACAATGTATACATAAAAATGAATATATCCAACATCAAAATCCAACATGTTGGTTATAAGGCATGCAAGATTGGCAAATACCGAGGTCTAGCAACATTTGACTTTCTGACATTATTTTCAACGATTGACGACATATGTTATTTACAATCGATTGAAGATTGTAATTAGATAGTCGGGATATGGAACTTCACCTTACTGGACTAACATGTAAGATGTATATACCTACCTGTAACAAGCACTTGATTCTATCAGCGGGCACCATAACTGTGGTCGCAAACAAAGCAGCCATCATACCAGACTTAAAATTTTGAATATTGCTAAAATAGCAAAGAAACGTTTGGAGGAGACATATATATGTATGCATGGAGGATTTCTACCTTTGGCTTTCAATAAAACCACTTGCATGTTCGTTCTGTCAGTTTTTTCATACATTTAAATAATATGCATGCATGGTTAGAGACATTTCCGGGGAAATATAGCAGTTGGAGCAAATATGAAACCGTCTAATTATATTTTCACGAAGCAGTTTTATTGGATGTGTTGAATTCACCATGTACTTATCCCGAGTTTCACTCTTGAAAATTGCCACGTTAAATTGTATTCATTTAAAAAAGTACCTTAATTGATCATTAGGGTGTTTCTGTTGAAGTCGTTTACCAATAGATGCTCCAAGAAAAAACATCGCAGACATTGGAGTCGCAAGAAAGATTGGTGTTGCCATTCCTTTATACAATCCACGCAATCCCTACACAAAATATCTCTATTTGCAATGCTTCAATTCTATCATGTATATACGTACCATAAATAATGTAATAAAGGCTTGGGGCGCCGTAAAATTACCTTACGGGAGACATTTATTAGAATATATATGTCTATCACTTATTAGAAACATGCTTTTATTCTTTCGCATGGCAGTTTTCTTTAATAAAGCCTTCCAGAAATTTGTCACAGCAGATAATATGTTTTAGGTGGGGTGACCAAAAATAACTTCAATTTTCACAACTCATCTGTACTCCATTACTTGCCTCGTACCCAGGCTGCATGGCTTTTGCGTGGGACCGCGTGGATTACCGCGTGTCAACTCGGGTTGAAACCTAAAAGCGCCAGTGTACAAAGCAACTCCATTACACTACATTAATCTAATGTTGGGTGGGCGTTTATTAGAGATGGGGCGTGTATTAGAGAGTGCGGTTTATCAGATCGTTCAAGGTATCGCCGACTAGATAAAAATAGCTAACCTAAAGGACAAAATGGAAAAAATAACGTATTATAGTACCAATCGTCACAACATATAATAAATTTACCAAATGCTTTTAATAAATAATCATGGCAAACTATAGATCTCTCTTCATATTTAGCTGCACTGCACATATCAGGTTGTTCATCCTAATCCCAGGGCTTTTTGCTTCCATGATTAAATGTCAGCAAAAAAGACGGTGACTTATCTCTTGAGACACATTCCAGCGAATATTGCAAAATTAATGCATTGACCACAGGGGGTCCAACTAAGAGCTGTGTTATGAATATGAATAAAACATATTAATTAAACGTAATATGAATAAAACATCATAACGTAATATATTTAAATTATTGCACTTACTTGTATAAATCATAAGAGCTTGTATTTGCAGTGAATAGCTTCAAACAGGGCGCTTATATATGCTCAGAAACATTGCTTCGAACATTCGAACGATTGTTCAAATATGGCGAATAAATTGACAAAACGAAAATATTACATGACGTTCCAACGAAAATAACAGCAAGGATTGCGGGCGCGCGAGCGAAAAGGCGAGGCTTCCGCTCACGCCCGCAATCCCTGCTGTTATTTTCGTTGGAACGTCATGTAATATTTTCGTTTTGTCAATTTATTCGCCATATTTGAACAATCGTTCGAAGCCTCAACCTCGTTCCCAGGCTCTTTGCTCTTGGGAAGCAAAGACCCTGGTCGGAGCTGGTCACGTGAACCCCCAGATTTTGGGGGTAAATTGAATTTGACCTCAGGGAGGGGTAGTAGAGGAGTCTGTTTGTTGCGTTTGGAAAATTGCAACTTTAGGTGTTATAATTTCGGGTGATAAAAATGTAATTTGCAACAAGAGATTGTGAAAGGAACTGTTTTAAATTGTACCGATCATGACAAGACTTCCTGCTGTACTGAATGTCATCAATAATAAGTGTTGCGGTACATTTCAAGCGAGAAGCTGGATCATATTTCACTTGCAAGGAAAGCACTACACACGCGCCTGGCTTGCGAAGTTTAGCACGTATCGCCGTAGAAACATACATATCTTCTACACAGAATGATCGATCTAACGGTATTAAAGAACGATATGGTTCTTTATAGTTGAAGTGTATCCTGTCCGATATTCAAAACAAAAGATTTATTTTATAACGGGATCCTTTGATTTCCCAAACATCGCCAACATGTGTAAACAATAGTGCTATTTTGACTGTAAAAGCACAGGATTAAAACCCGTTATGACTGGCTATAAAATTCATTTCATTTACATTGCTGAAACTCAACGATCAAGAAAGATAATGTCGAAGTGTAGCTAGCTATCTGTTATCACACAAACGCCAAGACTCCTCCGTGCGTTTCCGTGCGTGCGGTACAACTTGAATATCTAGGACGATATATGCACCAAACACTGGTATTTGTACTTTATATAAATTATTTCATATTTTGTATACACAGTAATTTGCAACATGTATAATATTTCGACCTTTCATTGACATTGGCATTGTCCGTTGAGGGCTTTATTGAAGAATAATCCAACTTCTTTAGACTTGTATAATGGATTAATGCCGCTGTGAGTTATCAATATTTAAATCAACTTTAATCTTTATCGTATACTGTAATCGACATTTTAGAAGTTTAGTCTGTTTTACCAAACAGTACTGGAGGCAAACAACCTATCTATAAATGGAAACTTTAAAAGGTTTGTTACAGTAAAACGCATTAATATAAGTGAGACTTCGTGTGCATATACAGTTTATGAATTATGTATATCCCTGATAAAACGTAGGACACTTTATACCAGATATAATAAAAAATACTTTGCTAAACCTTTTCGGCTGTCATTCCTTTGCATTTAAGGAGAGGGTAAATGGCGATAGAATTTATAGGAGATACTGTGCAATATTTTGGCTTCAACAAACAGGTACTCGCGCAGACAAAAAAGGAAATTCTTGCAGTTATGAACTGTCGTATGTCAGCTGTGCACTGTCGATTTCAAACAATTTTGTACGTTATATTTTGTCTTCCTGGTGTTTAATATAAACGATGATAGCCATTTAAAAAAAAATCTAGAGCAATATGTCTATAAACAGTTTTAGAATCAATAGAATGGACATTCACAATGTGTATTTGGCTTGTGTCCAAATGTGTCACGTTTAAGACCGGCAAGGCGCTAATCCTACGACCTATAAACAGTTGCTTTCGAGACATCTGTTTAACAAAATTTATACCATGTCCATATCAGAACAATTCATTGGCATATTATAAGCATATTATAAATATCAGAGCCACAACAGAAACGTATGCGTGAAATAAAACTACGCCCGAACCGGCGAACCCCGAGAAAACAAAAATATTTCAAAGCGTACAGTCATATGTTCTCGTTGCTTGATTTCCTGAATTTTCTGTTGCCATAAGAATCTGCATTTTAGCATGTTTGTATAATTTAAAAGCAAACTGAAACCAATTTAGCAAGTAGTTTGAGGTATATATGATTCTTGAAGATGAATTAATGGGTCAGCACTTTTTTCCATCCAGCAAACCGCCCTATCGATTTTGTAAAGTCGTTTCTTTTTGGATTTTTTTATTAATTCGGTTAGGGTTAGAGTTAGGGTTGAGGTTAGGGTTAGGGGTTAGAGTAGGGGTAGCGTTTGGGTTAGTTACATAACCATTTAACACCTCTTCTATCTTGCGAAAATGACGTCAGGTCAGTTTGCTGGATGGAAAATAGTGCTAACCGAATTAATGATTGTACAGAACGGCCACTCCTTGCAATCGAAGTGCGGAAGTGGAAACATGTAATATGAGACTTTTCCACCCCCCTCTTGGGCTATCAATTTTCAATGCGTCACGTGACCAGCTCCGACCAGGGTCTTTGCTTCCCAAGAGCAAATAGCCTGGGAACGAGGTTGACTTTGCGCCTGTTTTCAATTTATGCCACAATAAACTAAAATACTCTAATTACTAATAACTATTTATAAACAGTTAAGAAAGTCAATGAAATGTTCACCCCACATCACAAACTTTAGTGCTTATCAAATACTACACAATTATAGTTTTGTTTAGATGAATTCACGTAATAAACGTGACGTTTATTGCTTTAGCAATTAACAATTTATTCGCCTAAGGCAAGGTGATTATATTCCCCGATAATCACCGAGCCTGAGACGAATAATTGTTTTAGTATTTTTACACAAATCTTTTGTGTTTTTGGGACTGAATTTATTTTAATTTCGCTTATTTCTTTATCCATGATTTCCACAAAACGGCTAGCCGCCATTTTGTAAACTAGTTTTTACTGTTGAGGGAATATCACGCCAAATTTTACCAATCACCACGTTGGATTTCTTATATTCATATGTGTAAATAAATAAATAAAAAATACAAATTACTGATATGCAAAAAGTAAATCTATAGTGTATAGGTAAATATCAGAATTGTGGCCGCATCTACATTCGATATAACTAATAGTTGAAGGCCGGGTTTTGTTAGAATGGAAACTTCGAGTGTAAAATTTATACATTTATCAAACCTAAACAGGAGCAGTTGTGAAAAATGCAACTTAAGCCCAATAAATCTATAGCGCCAATACCTAACACACAAAAACAAAATGTGCAATATAAATTATCTTTTTCTTTGATACACTCTGTATTGAGCGTTTGCACTCAATCCCCATGCAGGGACCAACTCAACAAAAGCCATGGCGGCCATGTCGGTGTTCCAGACAAAAGCATAGGCTTACCGGGCGGGGGGGCGGGGGGGGG